AATATTAAATAAATATAAAATGTATGTTATGCATTGTAAACTACGATGATAAAATGAATATAACTATTAGAATATCACATTCTTTATTTTTGGATTTTTTAGTCTTTTTCTCTTTTATTAGTGGCCACGTCATCCAAGTGGTTGTAACAGAATTTGTTAGTCTCTTCTCTGAATTTGTTACTTCTTCTCCTATATATGCTGATGTACACTGTACAGAAAAGATAACAGAATGAATATACATTTTTCAACTTTTGCCTTTTCTCTGATTGTAAATGCAGATTCACATTACTAATATGGTATCAGATAGCAATTTTTGATGGCTCGTGGCCATCAACGTCCTCCTCCATCCCCTGAGATTTCATCTGGTTCATCTTCTTTAATGGAAGATGCTTCCAGTCCCTATTTCCTTCAGAGCAGTGATCATCCTGGCTTAATTTTGGTTACTCACTCACTCGATGGCACCAATTACAGTTCATGGAGTAGATCCATGCTCCTTGCTCTCACTGCCAAGAAGAAATCAGTCTTCATTGATGGTTCTATTCCTCGCCCTCCTGATACTGCTGTTATTTCCCGCGTGGAATCGGTGTAACTCGATGGTTATCTCTTGGATTCTTAATTCTGTTTCTAAGGCAATTGCTGACAGCTTGGTCTACTTCTCCAACGCTTTTGATGTCTGGAATGACTTATGAACTCGATTTCAACAAGCAAATGGTCCTCGAAATTTTCAGTTGAAGCAAGCAATCTCTTCTCTACACCAAGGATCCCTCGATGTGAACACTTATTACACCAGGTTGAAGACTGTAACACCCTGTGTGCACCCGGTGTATTAACATACATATGGTAAATAAACCCTGCTTAATTAATTAAATCATAACACGGAAGCTCACTAATTCAACTATGAATCCCCCTTCTCACACAAATATAATTAACCAAGTCTGATTAAAATGTAACAACATCAAGTCTCAGCATAAGTCATATATATAAAACACAGTAAATCTCCGTGCAAGCATACTATCAACTAAATATCTCCGGCCTCTTGCCTCTAGAGTCCTCCATATAACTATCTGAACCTGAAAATGTCCCCCAGACGGGGTGAGATTTCTAAAAAGAAACCTCAGTAAGACAAGGGGTCCTCAAGGACTTTTTCGCCCCAAGCTCACTTACAAGTATATAATAAATTCAAAACAGATAAAATGCATAGGCATATTATAACAATTCATTCAATCAGCAATACTCCATATTCCACAGTAATATCTCAACAACAATAATAATATCTCATGTATGTGATGTATGCATATGTGGTTCGACTGGCCAAGGAACAGGATAGGGTTTATACACGTCTGCTACCACCAAACATGAGGGATGCTGCCTCATACCTTGCACACCAGGGTTACTGCCTGATCGTACAAGTACTAACATCACATCCATACATTACATCAACAGACATATCCACAATCTCAGGAAAATATTAGTATGTATATGATTTTTACCAGAGCATACCATGCACATAAACCACCCTCCCATGGAGGTTGGTGGAACAAATAGAGGAACAATCCGAGGACCAGAAGCTTACCTGTACCTGTATGCCCCTCTGACTCAAACTCATTATCACAAGGGTCCACACCACAAATAGAATCCAATGCACTCACAAATATGGTTCAGTGACCATCATAGTATCAATATGCATATTCTAAAATTCCAAGGAAATCAGATATTATTTTCTTTTTCATTTCGAACCTGGAGATCCTTTCTAAGATGTATAATTTAACTTATTTAATTTTAGATGATTATTATCTTATAAATATATATATATAGCCACAATAATATATATTATCTATAATTATAAATATAAATATAAATATAAGTAAATAAATATAAATATATATATATATATATATATATATATATATATATATCTTAGATGTGAACACTTATTACACCAGGTTGAAGACTCTCTGTGAAGAACTTCAGAGCCACATTCCCCTTCCAACATGTACTTGTGGTGGTTTGCGTCATCTCTCAACTTCTCAGGAGCAGCATAATGCTCTCCAATTTCTGATGGGTCTCAACGACTCCTTTTCTTCAGTGCGTGCCTGGATCCTACTGATGTATCTTTTTCCATCTCTTGCTCAAGTTTTTTCCCTGGTCCTTCAAGAAGAAAGGCAACTCCAGATCTCTATAGTTGTTCCTGCCACTCCTGATACACCGCTTCTAAATTCAGTATCTACCACACCTGCCTCCCCAACTGATTCCACCTCTTCGGTGGTTGCTGCCACCACTAATCCCCGTCACCCCCGTCTTTTTTGTACCCACTGTCATGCTCAGGGGCATGTGAAGGACAAATGCTTCCGTCTCCATGGATTTCCCCCAGGGTACAAGCCTAGATTCCCCAAACCCAATTTTAACTCAAACTCGGCTCAAAGTCACTCGGCCCATTCTAACTCCACTATCTCTCACCAGCCCTTCCCCACTTTCCCCAATCCAGCCGTTCCTTACCCTAATTTTTCTCCAGCACCCCCCACAATCATCAACCAAGCATAATATGCGCACCTCCTTTCTCTCCTCCACAAGCATTCTGCTGCTCCGGTCACGTCATCTGCTAACTCCGTCAACAATGGCTCTCCATCTGTCGCTAGCTTCAACGGTACTGTTTCTACTTCTTCATTCTCTGATTCTTGTTGGATCCTAGACACTGGTGCTACTCACCATGTGTGTTTTTCCTCCCGTTTATTTTTTCGTTCCCAACTTTCTTCACCTTCTATGGCTTCTGTCGTGTCTTTTCCCAATGGCTCGACTGTTCCCGTGGTTGGTTCTGTCAGTATATCTCTTTCCCCTTCTTTAAATCTTCAAAATGTTTTGTTTGTTCCCTCTTTTACCTTTAATCTTCTGTCCATAAGTGCTCTCACTCGCGATTCCTCTCTCGTTGCTAACTTTACTTTTTCTCATTGCATCTTACAGGAACCTACAACGGTAACGACGATTGGGATTGCTAAGCGTTGTGGAAATCCTTATGTCCTCGACGTTTGTTCTCTTTTTCCCCAAATTTTTGTTCCCTCATCCCTCTGTTTTGCGGTAAATAAGCCTAGTCCCGTACTTTGGCATGCTAGACTAGGTCATCTTTCTTTTTCTGTCTTGAATTCCATGAAGGATGTTTTGCATAATACTGAAAATATAGCATCCTCACATCATTGTAATGTATGCCCTCTTGCAAAACAAAATCATTTACCGTTCATTTTGAATCCAAAGTTGTCTTCTATTCCTTTTACCCTTATACATTGTGACATTTGGGGACCTTTTCAGCCCCTTTCTGTTGAAGGTTTAAAATATTTTCTCACTATTGTTGATGATGCTACCCGTTTTACATGGGCATATTTTTTAAAATGTAAATCTGATTTTCGTTCTATTTTTCTTAACTTCATTCATCTTGTACAAAATCAATATAATGCCTCCATAAAAGCCATACATTGTGAAAATGCTCCTGAGTTTATGATATCTGACATTTTTCATTCTAAAGGCATTCAGATTCATCACTCTTGTGTTGATCGTCCGCAGCAGAACTCAGTGGTGGAGCAAAAACACCAACATATCCTCAATGTAGCTCGCGCACTACACTTCCAATCCCATATACCACTTACATACTGGCAAGACTGTGTATCCACAGCTATATATTTGATAAACAGGACCCTTTCCCCTTTACTATCTCACAAAACCCCTTTTGAACTACTCTCAAACAAACCTCCTGTATATGATCACTTGCGCATTTTTGGCTGCCTCTGTTATGGGTCTACTCTTCCCAAATCACGCCACAAATTTTCCCCTCGGGTTGTTCCTGCTATTTTTCTTGGCTACCCTCATGGTTTTAAAGGTTACAAATTGCTTGATTTAGCCTCTAACAGAACCTTCATCTATAGGGATGTCACTTTTGTAGAAACAATTTTTCCCTTTGCCTCAAACACACCTCATATTTCTCCTTTTCCTATTTCCCCTACCACTGTTATTTCTCCAAGCGAACCCTCTTCAGCCATTTTGCCCACTCACCGTCCCATTAGAGTTAGACACCCTCCCTCACATTTGGCTGAATATGTTTGCTCATCCTCCGCAGCTCATCCTCTTTCTAATTTCCTTTCCTACAAAAAAACTTTTACCCTCTCACACTGCCCTTATTAATTCTCTGTCCATTCACTATGAGCCAACATCCTTTTCTGAGGCATCTCAACTTCCTGAGTAGCAGGCAGCTATGGATGCTGAAATTCTGGCTTTGCAACAAAATAACACACGGTCTATTATTTCTCTTCCCCCCAACAAAAATAGTGTTGGCTGCAAATGGGTCTATAAAGTTAAATATAACTCAGATGGTTCTGTTGACAGGTATAAGGCACGGGTGGTGGCAAAAGGGTTTCACTCAACAAGTAGGAGTGGAATTTTCTGATACATTTTCACCCGTAGCCAAGTTAACTTCAGTACGTACACTGCTTGCCCTTGCTGCTCTTAATAATTGGAATCTAATTCAATTAGATGTCAATAATGTTTTTTTACATGGAGATTTAATGGAAGAAGTTTATATGCAATTGCCTCCTGGTTATCGTGGGCAAGGAGAATCTATCCCTAATGTTGTGTGTCAATTACACAAGTCAGTATATGGGGTTAAACAAGCATCTAGACAATGGTTTGCAAAATTCTCTTCAGCTTTATCTGTTCTTGGTTTTTCACAGTCTAAGGCTGATCACTCTCTGTTTACAAAGCATTCTGAATCTTGTTTTGTTGCTCTTCTTGTTTATGTGGATGATATCCTTGTTGCCTCTAACAATTTACTTGAAGTATAACTCCTTACCTCTCTTCGGGATAGCAAATTCAAGCTTAAAAACCTTGGACCTCTCAAATATTTTTTGGGCCTTGAAGTAGCTCGATCATCTAAAGGTATCTCCATTTGTCAGCACCACTATGCACTGAATATTTTGTAAGATGCTGGGCTATCTGGTTGCAAGCCAAAATCCACCCCAATGGATGTCAACTTGAAGTTATCATCAACCAATGGGGACCCCTTACCTGATCCAACTTCCTATAGAAGACTCATTGGACGACTTCTATACTTAACCATCACACGGCCAGATCTTTCTTTTGCAGTGAATCATCTTAGCCAATACATGGCTGATCCTCGGGTTCCTTATCTCCAAGAAGCTCACAGAATACTTGCCTCTGTCAAGTCTACTGTTGGTCAAGGTCTATTTTTTCCTTCTACCTCATCTTCGCATCTAAAGGTTTTTTGTGATTTAGACTGGGCCTCTTGTTTAGATAGCCGTCGATCTGTATCTGGTTTTTTTATTTTTCTTGGAGCTTCTCTCATTTCATGGAAATCAAAGAAGCAGTAAACAATTTCCCGAAGCTCAGCAGAGGCTAAATACCGGTCAATGGAAAATGCATCTTGCGAAGTCCTCTAGCTTTTACAGTTACTGAAGGATCTTGGTGTCTCCCATCCTTCTGCTGCACATCTGTTCTGTGACAACAAATCTTCTCTTCATAATGCAGATAATCGGGTCTTTCATGAGCGTACGAAGCACATTGAGATTGACTATCATCTCATCCGTGATTGTATTGTTCGTGGCCAAGTGAAAACCTTCCACATCGCCTCCTCTCATTAGATTGCTGACGTAATGACCAAAGCTCTTCATCCAAGTCATTTTTCTACTCTTCTCTCCAAGATGAGAGTTCTTAATATACAGTCTCCATCTTGAGGGGGAGTATTAGAATATCACATTCTTTATTTTTGGATTTTTTAGTCTTTTTCTCTTTTATTAGTGGCCACGTCATCCAAGTGGTTGTAACAGAATTTGTTAGTCTCTTCTCTGAATTTGTTACTTCTTCTCCTATATATGGTGATGTACAGTACTGTATAGAAAAAATAACAGAATGAATATACATTTTTCAACTTTTGCTTTTTCTCTGATTGTAAGTGGAGATTCACATTACTAACAATAACAAGTGTGTAACAAAAATCTAAAAATCTAAACTATATAGTTTGCTTCATTTTTTTGATCTTCATATAGCTTTAATTTGAGAAAATCTTATCTAAGCTTATGGACAACATCAAAGTCCTTCGACCTTTAGCATGTAGGAGGTCTTTCATATGCTGGCACGTATAATAATTAAATCCAATTGTTTTCAATCATTTGTCCTTTTGTAATCAATTATTGAAGGGACATGACCTATCAATAACAAGATGCAGCCCCAAAAGATATTGCGTTTATCAAACTATTAACACAAATAACCGTACGAAAATTTGTAGAGCCACACCAAGACTGCAAATGGTAGTGGTAATAAGTAATCAGTAGTAAGATAGTAATAATGTCATTTCAACCTGAAGATCTTCTTATGTACCTCATTAACATATCTTGAAATGTGACTTGAGTGGCTGCCCGGCAATGTAACATAATTCAAAGCTGTCGGAAACAACATTTGGTATCATGTTTTTGTGAAAACAATGCAACGTGGTATGTTCCCTTATCATCGGGTCAAAGATCCCGCCTTACCTCTTAAATGTATCATTTAGATTTTCCGCTTGCCTCTAAATGTTAGAACTAAATAATTTTATGGTAGATAATGAGATATATTAGATATTAGGTATAAGGGTACTTTAGTATTTTAATGATACTTTATATCTCTCTTTTTTGTTATGCTCTTCTATATAAGAGCTCACTTATTGTACGAATCAATTACCACAATCAATGAAATCAATATTTTTCCTTTCCTCTCTTTTACCTTCTAATATGGTATCAGAGCATTTTTATCCTCCATGAATAGAGATTCCGCTGCGATCACTTTTTTTTTCTCTTTTTGTTTCCTTTCTTCCAGATCTGATCCCCATCTGTGAATTTTTTTTTAGAGCTACTCTTTCTCCTTTAATTTTCTATGTCCATTTTTTTTTTAATTTTTGCTTCGAGTCGTCTTCTTCAATGGCTTTCCTGAAAACCTTCTCCGGCTGTTTCGGTTCCAGATCTGTGTTGCTTTCAGATCTGCGCTTTTATCTACTCCGGCCGTGTCTTCCTTTTCTCCGGCTGTTATTTTTGTTCCAGGTCTGTGTTGCTTTCAGATCTGCGTTTTGGTCTCCTCCTGCCGCGGTTTTCTTCTTCCGGCCATGTCCGTCTTCTTTTCCGGTCATCATCTCCGACCGCGTTTCATTCTCCGGGCGCATCATCCATTCCTCCGGCCGTTTCTGTTCCAGATCTGTGTTGTTTTTCAGATCTGCGTTTTGGTCTCCTCCAATCGTGTCTTCTTTTTCTCCGGTTGTTTCTGTTCTGATTCATATCCACGTTTTTTTTCTCCGATCTAATTACGCCTCATCTCCATGCGTCTTCCAGATCTGATCTTGTGAATTTTATTATTTTTATCATGCATTTTTTTCAATTTTCTTCCATCTGTTTCTCCTCACCACTCTTTAGCAAGTACCTCTTATGTTAAGCCATAAGGTCCTACCGTCAATCCCCATCCTATATTTTTTTTTCTGTATATGTTCAGTCTTTAACAAGACCAGCTATGTTCAGTCTTCGCAGTCTCCATCTATTAGATCTATAATTTTTTTTTTCTGCCCTATCTCATTTTCTTTCTTTATCTACCTTTACGTCAGATATGTTTCTTATTTTGATTCTTATATTTTATGGCTTTATTTTGGCTTCCTATTCAGGGAGAGCATTGTTTATGTTGGCTTCTTATTCAGGGGGAGCATTGTTCATGTTGCTGCAGTTCATTTCAGAACTGTTGATTTTGCCGATGTCCACCCCGGCAGTTCATATTAGGTTGCTGATGTCCATCCCAGCCCTTCCTTTCTTTGCTGATGTCCATTCCAGCACATTATAGCTCCATTCCATTACTGTTTCTTTACTGGCTGATGCTTATGTTATTTGGTTATTATGTTTTCTTGATTTTTCTTGTTCAAGATGGAAGTTCTCCTTGTTCACTCTCCATCTTGAGGGGGAGTATTAGATATTAGGTATAAGGGTACTTTAGTATTTTAATGATATTCTAGATCTCTCTTTTTTGTTATGCTCTTCTATATAAGAGCTCACTCATTGTACAAATCAATTACCACAATCAATGAAATCAATATTTTTCCTTTACTCTCTTTTACCTTCTAAGATGGTATCAGAGCATTTTTATCCTCCATGAATAGAGATTCCGCTGCGATCACTTTTTTTTTTCTCTTTTTGTTTCCTTTCTTCCAGATCTGATCCCCATCTGTGAATTTTTTTTTAGAGCTACTCTTTCTCCTTTAATTTTCTATGTCCATTTTTTTTTTTAATTTTTTCTTCGGGTCGTCTTCTTCAATGGCTTTCTTGAAAACCTTCTCCGGCTGTTTCGGTTCCAGATGTGTTGCTTTCAGATCTGCGCTTTTATCTCCTCCGGCCGTGTCTTCCTTTTCTTCGGCTGCTTTTTTTGTTCCAGGTCTGTGTTGCTTTCAGATCTGCGTTTTGGTCTCCTCCTGCCGCGGTTTTCTTCTTCCGGCCATGTCCGTCTTCTTTTCCGGTCATCATCTCCGACCGCGTTTCATTCTCCGGGCGTATCATCCATTCCTCCGGCCGTTTCTGTTCCAGATCTGTGTTGTTTTTCAGATCTGCGTTTTGGTCTCCTCCAACCGTGTCTTCTTTTTATCCGGTTGTTTCTGTTCTGATTCATATCCACGTTTTTTTTCTCCGATCTAATTACGCCTCATCTCCATGCGTCTTCCAGATCTGATCTTGTGAATTTTATTATTTTTATCATGCATTTTTTTCAATTTTCTTCCATCTGTTTCTCCTCACCACTCTTTAGCAAGTACCTCTTATGTTAAGCCATAAGGTCCTACCGTCAATCCCCATCCTATATTTTTTTTTTCTATATATGTTCAGTCTTTAACAAGACCAGCTATGTTCAGTCTTCGCAGTCTCCATCTATTAGATCTATAATTTTTTTTTTCTGCCCTATCTCATTTTTTTTCTTTATCTACCTTTACGTCAGATATGTTTCTTATTTTGATTCTTATATTTTATGGCTTTATTTTGGCTTCCTATTCAGGAAGAGCATTGTTTATGTTGGCTTCTTATTCAGAGGGAGCATTGTTCATGTTGCTGCAGTTCATTTCAGAACTGTTGATTTTGCCGATGTCCACCCCGGCAGTTCATATTAGGTTGCTGATGTCCATCCCAACCCTTCCTTTCTTTGCTGATGTCCATTCCAGCACATTATAGCTCCATTCCATTACTGTTTCTTTACTGGCTGATGCTTATGTTATTTGGTTATTATGTTTTCTTGATTTTTCTTGTTCAAGATGGAAGTTCTCCTTGTTCACTCTCCATCTTGAGGGGGAGTATTAGATATTAGGTATAAGGGTACTTTAGTATTTTAATGATATTCTAGATCTCTCTTTTCTGTTATGCTCTTCTATATAAGAGCTCACTCATTGTACAAATCAATTACCACAATCAATGAAATCAATATTTTTCCTTTACTCTCTTTTACCTTCTAATATGGTATCAGAGCATTTTTATCCTCCATGAATAGAGATTCCGCTGCGATCACTTTTTTTTTTCTCTTTTTGTTTCCTTTCTTCCAGATCTGATCCCCATCTGTGAATTTTTTTTTAGAGCTACTCTTTCTCCTTTATTTTTCTATGTCCATTTTTTTTTTAATTTTTGCTTCGGGTCGTCTTCTTCAATGGCTTTCCTGAAAACCTTCTTCGGCTGTTTCGGTTCCAGATCTGTGTTGCTTTCAGATCTGCGCTTTTATCTCCTCCGGCCGTGTCTTCCTTTTCTCCGGCTGTTTTTTTTGTTCCAGATCTGTGTTGCTTTCAGATCTGCGTTTTGGTCTCCTCCTGCCGCGGTTTTCTTCTTCCGGCCATGTTCGTCTTCTTTTCCGGTCATCATCTCCGACCGCGTTTCATTCTCCGGGCGCATCATCCATTCCTCCGGCCGTTTCTGTTCCAGATCTGTGTTGTTTTTCAGATCTGCGTTTTGGTCACCTCTAACCGTGTCTTCTTTTTATCCGGTTGTTTCTGTTCTGATTCATATCCACGTTTTTTTTCTCCGATCTAATTACGCCTCATCTCCATGCGTCTTCCAGATCTGATCTTGTGAATTTTATTATTTTTATCATGCATTTTTTTCGATTTTCTTCCATCTGTTTCTCCTCACCACTCTTTAGCAAGTACCTCTTATGTTAAGCCATAAGGTCCTACCGTCAATCCCCATCCTATATTTTTTTTTCTATATATGTTCAGTCTTTAACAAGACCAGCTATGTTCAGTCTTCGCAGTCTCCATCTATTAGATCTATAATTTTTTTTTCTGCCCTATCTCATTTTTTTTCTTTATCTACCTTTACGTCAGATATGTTTCTTATTTTGATTCTTATATTTTATGGCTTTATTTTGGCTTCCTATTCAGGGAGAGCATTGTTTATGTTGGCTTCTTATTCAGGGGGAGCATTGTTCATGTTGCTGCAGTTCATTTCAGAACGTTTGATTTTGCCGATGTCCACCCCAGCAGTTCATATTAGGTTGCTGATGTCCATCCCAGCCCTTCCTTTCTTTGCTGATGTCCATTCCAGCACATTATAGCTCCATTCCATTACTGTTTCTTTACTGGCTGATGCTTATGTTATTTGGTTATTAT